GGGCAGCAAAGTCATAACTCCTGTTTACGTGGACCTAGAGCGTTCAAATTTGGTAGGATCACACTTTTCGTATTACCAGTGGAACTTCAGCATTCTAATAGGTGATGAAGGATATGACGGGATCGTAGGTACTCGGTGACAGGAACTGATGATAACTGATAAGAGAAGATAGAGAATCTAAGAGTGCCACCTACCGATCGAAATCCTAACATCTTCGGTATCTACGATGTAGCTTTAACCGTTCAGTATGTTTCATTCGATAAGACGAGATGGTAGAGCAGGGTGACAAAAGTGAGTGGTAAGGGCAGTGATAGGGACCCATTAGGGCAATACGATAAGCAGATTAGAACTTTGTTCATTTCTTACTACTAGATTGCGACCGCTACCCAGCAAGGTTTGCGATTCAATGAAGGATCCTTTTTAATCGATGTCATTGGCGACAAAACTTAATCGACCGCTTGTAATCTAGAATTCTCAACAAATGATATCTCTGTAAAGAAAAGGGTCCATTGATAAAAAATATCTGATAACGGTGCTATCATCACTCAGAACATCTCCACAGCATCATCTTTGATTGTCTAACAGTTGGATTTTTGATGGGTAATTATTGCAAAGATAGGGAGCAAAAGTTCGAGACTTCCAATCGAAGGCGTAAGCACCGACTTTAACTGAATACCATTTGCACTGCGCTGTTAGTCCTGTGTCAAATTTCGTCATGAAACCGTCATTTATTCCAGAAAAGGAGTGGAGAGTTAGACTTACTACAACTATCAGAGAAAGATGGAGGCTTTCGATTTCTGCGGTGTCAAAAAGGATTTCGAGATCTGTTTCAGTTTCATACCCTCACTCAGCTAAACACGGAAAAACTTAAAGACTATAAACTTTGAAAAAGGGAGTAAAATTTTTCAGTTCAACATTTCTCGGGATAGGCTGTTTGACACCAGAAGGAGGAGAGCCTGGCGTTAGCCGGGTGATTCGACTGGTCTTGAATAAATGGGGTGTGTATTGTATTATCTACCGTTTCTGCCGATTTCCTATTCTTGTAGTGAAATATAGGAGTGATCGAGTAATGATAGATGATTGAACTGCTTGGGCGTCTAAAAACATTTGGCACGGAGTTCTCTCTCACTCTCACTCTCACTTTCGGGCACTCATTCAAAGCCCTGGCGGTATTTTGGAACAGGTCATGCCCCGAAAGTGAAGTGGAGGAAGGAATGTACTTCAATAACGCGAAATTTAACCCCCCTATATAGTAAATTGATCCCTATTATAGGATCAAAAATAAATCAAAATATTTGATGAATCCTCTGCCCTGTCACTTGCTGCTATTCAGTTGTTCAGGTAAGCCGTAAATATAAATATATGCCTTTGGGAGAGAAAATAGTTTTGTTTTGTTCATTTGGGTATGTCATAATCGGGAGGTATTTTGGTTTTGGTAGAGAAAATAGACAATAGGAACAAGGTAAGTAATTCTGTAAATGCTCACCTTTTTCTTATCATCCTTTTTACTGTCCTGGGTTTTCTTCTTTTTGCTGTCGTCCGTTTTTCCTTTCTTATCCTCCTTCTTTTCCGATGCTTTTCCCTTCTTATCATCTTTCTCCTTCTTCTTATCTTCGGTCTTGTCTTTCTTGTCTTCCTTCTTCTCTTTCTTGTCCTCTTTCTTCTCTTTCTTGTCGTCTTTCTTCTCTACTTCTTTCTCTTTCTTATCCTTCTTCTCTGATTCCTTTTCTTCTTTGGTTTCCTTTTCCTCATTCTTCTTCTTATTTTTGTCCTCCTTTGACTCCTTCTTCTCTTTTTTGTCCTCCTTCTCTTCCGATTCCACAGTCTTCTTGTCGTGCTGAAATTAGATGATATTAGATTTCAGCCTTAGATTGATTTTGCTGAGTGGGAGGGG